ATCCATGACCCATCCCCGATCCACCCCCCCATTCCCCTCACGCCGTCTCGTCGTTTCGGAACTCGAGCTCCCCGCTGGCGTCCTCGTAGTCGACGCCGCCGCCGCGGGCGGTTCCCTCGACGGTCCTGAAGGGCACCATGACGGTGCCGCGGGCGCCGGAGCTGCGCACCACCGTCACCTCCACCTTGCCCTGGCACTCGCTGACGCGCACCGAGCGCTCGCGGAACCCGAAGATGCCGGCGTGGTCGTCGTCCAGGATGGTGACGGTGGCCACCAGCGGCGCCACCAGCTTGCCCTTGGGGTGCTCCTCGTTGTCGGCCTCGAACATGCCCTCGGCGTCGCCCACGCGCAGGTTGAGCAGGCGCACGAAGAAGTGCTCGTCCTCCTCGAAGATGTCGTCGTCGATGATGCCGATGGCCAACTCCTTGCGCGTCTCGCCCGGCTTGAAGATGAGGGTGCCCTCGCTGTACTCGTAGTCCGAGCCCGCCTTGGCCGAGCCGTCCTCGGTGCGGAAGTCCACGTAGAAGGTCTGGTTGGCGCCCACGCCCTGCTCGCAGGCCACGGCCAGCGTCACCGAGCCGCAGTTCTCCAGGCAGTGGTAGAGGCAGGGCTCGAAGAAGATGCGGCTGCAGGCCTCGTCCTCCTCCTCCTCCTCGTCGTCCTCGCCCGGCGCCGCCGGCGAGCGCCGCGCCGCCTCGGCCGCGTGCTTCTTCAGCACGTTGCCGGCGCCGGTCATGAGGCGCGTGGCCTGGATGCGGTAGAAGGCGCGACTCTTCTGCTGGTGCACCAGCGCCACGTAGTTGGCGGCGTCCACCAGCTGCTCCAGCTCCTTCTCCGGGTGCTTCTGCTTGAGGTCCTTGAGGATCTGGATGACCTCGCGCCGGCTCTCGTCCAGCTCCCGCTCCTCGGGCGTGGGCGACGGCGACGCCGCCGAGCCCTCGGGCTCCGGCAGGGCCGGCGCCGGGGGGAAGCCGCCGTCGGCCTCCACGTCCTTGGGCGGGCGCTCGGCCTCGGCGCCGATGATGATGCCGCTGCGCGGGTCGGCGCGGTAGCGCTTGTAGACGTACTTGTAGAAGAGCAGGCGCTTGTCGGCCGCCCAGGCGAAGACGACGCAGGCCGGGAAGAAGAGCAGGGTGAGGAAGGCCTCCCACACCTGCACCACGCCCGGCGTGATGACGGCCAGGATGAGGTAGAGCCAGATGTAGGCGAAGATGCTCCAGGAGGCCGTGACGAAGAAGACGCGCAGGTGCTTGATGCGGCGGCTCTCGCCCGCCGGGATGGCGTAGACGCACACGGCGATCACCACGAACATGTTGAAGGCGGCGCTGCCCACGATGGTGCCGGGGCCCAGCTCGCCCGCCTGGAAGCGGTGCCCGCACACCTCGATGAGCGAGAGCAGGATCTCGGGCGCCGACGAGCCGAGCGCCATCAGCGTCAGGTTGGAGACCGTCTCGTTCCAGATGCGCACGGTGCCCACGCTGGTCTCGCCGTTGGCCTTGGTCACCGTGATCTCCTTCTCGCGCGACGTGATCACCTCGATGGAGGCCATGAAGCGGTCGGCGATGATGGACACGCCCAGGAACAGGTACATCATGGCCACGAAGTAGACGATGGCCCGCGCCGCCTTGTCGCCCGCCGCCGGCTCGTCCGGCTGCCACACGGGCAGGAGGACGCCGGGCTGGCACCGCGCCGAGCCGCGGCACGTCCCGTTGTTGGCGTTGGCGCCGACGGAGCCGTCGGGGGACGCCCCCGAGAGCCGCGGGGCCACCAGGAGCCAGGCGGCCGCCGCCGCGCCCACGGCGGCCATGGCGGGGGCGGAGAGGCTGCGGGGGGAGGAGAGGGGTCAGTGGGGTGGGATGGGGGTCAGGATGGATCCGTGGGGTTGGGATGGATCTGTGGGGTCAGGGTGGATCCATGGGGCCGGGATGGATCCGTGAGGTTGGGATGTGGGGGTGGGAGCCAGGGTCGGGATCCAGGGATGGGTCTCTGGGGCTGGGATATGGGGTTGGGATCCAGGGGTGGGATGTGGGGCTGGGATGGATCTGTGGGGCTGGGATGGATCTGTGGGGCTGGGATGCAGGGTTGGGATGTGGGGTTGGGATGGGTCTGAGGAGCTGGCACAGATCTGTGGGGCTGGGCTGTGGGGTTGGGGTGGATCTGTGGGGCCATGGGGGGGGGTGAAGGGGCTGTGGGGGCACAGAGGGGTCGGAATGAGGGGTGGGAGCCCCGGGTGGGATGTGGGGTTGGGAATGGGGG